GCGATTCTACGCTGATACCCTTGGATGGGATACAACGCCTTCAACCTCCTCTCGTCAAACAACATCAATTCTTTGAACCTGTTCTGTTGCCAATCCGCCTCTGTTATCTAACACTCGACCATGATCCTCAACAAGGGTACCTCAGTCTCAATTGACAGAACAACTTCTATCCCATACACTAGAGAATAAGGGGTTGCTCTTGTAGATGTCCGAATTGATGTTCTGTAACCCCAGAGTGCAAAAGGCAACTTATCTGGCTAGTCTTTGTAAGTCTCAACCATCTTCCACAGGATGTTCTTGACATTCTTATTAGCGGCTTCAATAGCTCCATTGGTCTATGGTCTATATGTTGATGACTTGTGAAAAGCCACGTTGTATTTTTCAAGCAAATCCACACCTCTTTCTTGAAGTGCGAGCCATTGTCCAAGATGATCTCATTTGGCACCCCGTACCTACATATGATGTTGTTCTTGATGAACTTGGCCACATGTGATGCCTTCAATACAGAGTAAGACTGAGCTTCCACCCACTTGGTAAAATAGTCAATCGCTACTAAGATATACTCAAGCCCATTCGAACCCTTTGGCGAGACTGCCCCAATGAAATTAATTCACCAGACTGAGAAAGGCCATGGAGAAGTCATGTTGTAAAGCTTTGACAACGGTATGTTTATGCGATTGGCATGAATTTGACATTTGTGGCATCACCGAACAAATCAAATATAATCCTCCTCCATAGTTGACCAATAATAGCCTTGCCTGAGGATTTTCCTGGCCAGCATCACACCATTCATATGTGCTCCACATTCTCCTCCATGAATGGCCTCTATGAGACGTTTTGACTCATCTTCTTCAACGCAGAGCTTATGCATTCCCAGATGACCTCTTTGCAGACACCGCATTTTTTACGGCCCTTTAAGACTTGGATGTTTTTGCAGGCACATTTGATGGTGAGTCTGATTGCTCACTGAACGCTCAAAGTCCGCGGCAGAACACCACAGGTTTGAGTTTTCCAAACCCTGCATCCTTTTTCCCTCATCTTTGGACCATGCTTAGGTCTTTCAGAATGAGATTGTTGATGGCCTGCCGGCCATCCTCGAAGGCTGCCGGCCATGGCTTTTGGCCTGCTGGCTATTGATGTGCCTTGTCGGCCATCACTAATGGCCAGCCATCCATCAGTGTTTCCAGTAGATATTTTGTGATATTTTGTGCCAGCTGTATGCACAGGTTCATGCATCTTCTAACATGTGTGTGGCTGGATCTTTGTGAGGAGAATTTGTATTTTCTATATATATGACCCCTCTCTTGCATGTGAGGGGGTTAAAAAAATTTGAAGACAAAAATTGTCTCTCTCTCTAGAATTCTCTCTCTCTCTCGTCATTTTGTGCCTTGAAGTCTAGTTTCTCCACACTTTTGCACAACAACCCTTGATCAAACTTGACCACCTTGGAGCTGAGGTCTCTTGGAGTTTTGTTTGAGCTCTAGAGAAAGGTTTAGGCTTGGATTGTTACTTAATTTGTGCTCTAGCTTCAAGAGGTAGTTTATTTACTTAGTACACTAGCTTTGAATACTTGTTTTGCCATCCTTTTATATTGTTTTTGGGCTGGTTTTCAACTATAAAAAAAAAATCTATTTTTGAGGCTTAAAAGTGGTGGTTTGAGCCCTTTTGAGTCAGGGGTTGTCTATCCTTTTTGCTTCTTAGCTTGTTAAGCTTTTGTGCCATCTTTTCACCACTTTCAAAACAAATTTTTTGGGCCTTTTAACCACTGAATTTTAGTGGTTTTTCAGTGGTAAAAACTTTGTTTTGAAGTCCAAAATTGGAGGGGTTAGCCTCCCCTCCTTGTGTCTTGTTTGCATGCCTAGTTAGCCTCACATGTTAGCTTATTATTTTAGCTTTTTGTGGCTTGAGTCCAGCATGTTTTTGCCTCTGAAATAACCTGTTTTGGCTCTATTTTGGGCTGGTTAGTTCAGATGAGGCTTGTTTTGCATAGTTGTAGTGTTAATTCCTTTACTAACTTGATGTTTTAATGCTTGAATCATCATTGTTTTGAGTTAATAGCATGTTTTAGTGTTGTTTTACACTTCATTTAAGCATCTAAAATCTATGCAACCTCCCTTAATTCGTTACTCTTTTGTTTTCCAAAGTGTAAAATTGAGGTGTTGCACCTAATGGTTTAATCCCTTAGGGGGTTCATTACCAATAATGTAATACCTCTTTCATGCCCAAAGCATCTTATTGTTTGAACAATCTTTCCATTAGAGGACACTCACTTTTGGACTTAATCAATTAAAGAGTGAATTGATAATGTAAAATGAGTAAACAAAAATGAACAAGTAAAAGAGGCAAGATAAGTATCTTTGTGTTGCATTGCATGTGTTCAAATCGGACGTTAGTTTTGAACACAAGGAGAATAGGACATTTCATACTCAGTAGTGATGAAATGTGCCATTTTTCCTTGGTCTTCATTGCCCTTGATCATGCATGATAGGGTGGTGGTCCTTTGAGTCATATTTGTGCATTTATCAAAATAGTGCAACTTGGATCTTTGGCCATCATGCAATGAAATTGCTTGATTGGTGGTTTTGGATCTAAGTGTGCCACTCCTTTTAGGTTTTGAAGTGATGAAAAGGGGTACAGTACAAACAAACCCCTAGAAAAACCTTCCTTTTGCCCTATTTGTGCTCTGTTGCAGTATGGTGACTCAGAGCATCAGTGGCCAGCACGGCCCCATCCATGGCCGGTAGTGCCTCATTTCTGGCCAGCAGGTGGCCGGCAGGCCACTGATGTCAATCTCAAGGAAGATTTAGTGAGTAGAAAGATTCTGGAGTTTGCTCAACCCTGAAAACAAAGCCTTTCAAGAGCAAAACGGAAGACTTTTCGGGGCGAGAAACAAGCATATGCATATTCCACTTCCCGAGGCGGAGCAGTGGCAGCATAGTTTAATATCTTGCATGCTTAGTTAGTGTACATTCATTTTAATTAATTAGTTTGCTAATTAGTTAAGTGTTTTAATAATTAGTAATTGATTTGCTATTTTTCATTTGATTTGTAATAAAATAGTCTAATTAGTTGAATTAGATTAGTTTAATTAGTTTAGCTTATTCATTCGGACCTTCCTTCGTGAGGGCGTAATGTTGTAATAAGTGTGCGTGCGTGTGCGCATGTCTTCCAACCCCGTGTCTTTCTCCCTTTTATTTAATCGCTTTCGATAGTTAGATTAGGGATATATTTTGATTAGCATACCTTATGCTCGCATGTTTGCATCCATTTATTTGTCTTGCATGCACCGAGGCTCGACGCATCATTCAAACTGCATTGCAATTTCAATACTTATTTGAATACATGTTAAACCATAGTTATCAAATTGAATCAGATGCCATATTAGTAGCCGAGCCTATTAATTGCATATTGCATGTGTCACATTAGGCATCTTGTATAGTTAGAATCATGCATTTTTCTAATTTTGTTTTCTTTCCTAGCTTGGAGTACTAGGTGAGTTTTATGCTTTAGCATACTTGCATGAGTGTGAGTGTTGCCATGACCAGCATGCTTGCCATGAGGCTATGTGCTTAAATGCTAAACTACAGAATGCCTGTGGATGAAGGCTTTGTTGTTCGAATTGGAACGATTCAATGGATGTAAGTTTTAGGCCCACTTTGTTATGGAAAATCATGTTTTAAGCCCACTTGAGGTAGCAAATCCGCATGTTTTAAAGCCCACTTGAGGGTGGCAAATTCAAACCATTTTCCCAAACAAACATGACTTGAAAAGTTCCAATTCTTGCGATTAAGTCTATACTTACTTGTGTGCGTCACATAGTAATGTTAGTTCAAATAACTGAAATTTATGACCTTCCCCCCTCGTACCCAAGTTCCCGAGCCAAGATAACTTTGGTGATGATGGACACGTGGCCTTTGACACGAGTTTGGGTTTCCTAAATTTCTCCAATAATAAAATATTTAGGTGGCGACTCTGTAATCTGGCAAAGCAGTCCAATTTTGGCCTTATTTGATTTAAAATCGATTTTCCCAAAAAGGTTTGCTAGATTTGGACTCTTTGGTGATTATCAGTTTCACATTGCACTTGTGAGACTAGATTCAGAATCGTGGGAGTCCGAACTGTGAGACCTTCTTTTCAAACCCTTTTCGAAAGGCAGGGCACGGGAAAAAGGCGAGTCCACAGTTTCTGGCAACTCTGCTGAGGATTTAGAGAACTTGACTCGAACTCATGATATGTTGTTTTATTTATACTTATGTGTTTCTTTGCATTTACATTTGCATCGGTGCGCTTAAGTCAAAATGTTTGCCATCTGTTATTCCTGAACGGTTTGCCGGAAGCTAGCATGGAAAAGCTTGTCGAAAGGCTGACCGGTTGCGAGCTCTGCCACGATGGGAACACAACCCTTGGATCTAGACTACCGTTGTACCGTTTGATCCTCCTTTTACTTCTCGGTGTTAGGTGTGAGAGGTATATTAGGTAGTACTGGTCAGTCTAGGCCAATTCACAATTGCCTCAATCTTTTGCGGGTCAACTAAAATACCATCTTTAGTAATCACATGTCCCAAAAACATAAGATTATCCAACCAAAACTCACATTTTGTTAGTTTAGCATAAAATCTCTTCTCTCTGAAGGCTTGAAAAACAATTCTCAAGTGATGTTCATGTTTCTCTTTGCTTTTGGAGTAAATCAAAATATCATCTATAAAAACAATCACAAATTCATCGAGGAATGGCTTGAAAATTCTATTCATAAGATCCATAAATGCAGTAGGCACATTAGTAACTCCGAAAGACATAACAAGAAATTCATAATGTTCGTACCTTGTTCGGAAAGCAGTTTTTTCGATGCCTTCGGCTTTAACTTTCAATTGGTGGCATCCGGATCTAAGATCAATCTTGGAAAATACTTGGGCACCTTACAACTGATCAAATAAGTCATCAATATGTGGCAACGGATACTTGTTCTTCACTGTCACCTTGTTCAATTCACGATAGTCAATTCAAAGCCTTAATGAACCAGCCTTCTTTTTCACAAATAAGACTGGAGCGCCCCACAGTGATGTACTAGGTTTGATAAACTTCTTGTCCAACAGCTCTTGTAATTGAATTTTCAGCTCTTTCAGTTTAGTAGTGGACATCAGGTATGGGGTTTTAGAAATTGACTGTGTACCCAGTATCACCTCAATAGTGAACTCAATTTCCCTGTCAATCAAATCCCTTAGCAAATCATGTAGAAAAACATATGGGGATTCTCTGACTATAGGAATATTGTCCACATTAGCTTTATCAATAGCAGACACAGTCAATACACAACACAAATACCCTTTACACCCCTTTCTAATCCATTTGCATGCTTTTATAGATGAAATCAAATATGGGGGAGGTACAACACCAACTCCATTAAATATAGATTCAGGTAATCTAGGTAGACAAAAACAACTTGTTTGGTTATACAATCGATAGTGGCATGATATTTCGTTAAACAATCCATCCCTAAAATTACATCAAAATGATCAAGATTCAGAGGCAACAAATCAACATATAAAATCATATCTCCAATAGCAATCTCACATGTAGGATACATATATGCACAAGTCATAGACCCCTTAGTAGGTGAAGACACAGCTAATAAATAATTCATTTGTTTCAGTGGTCTAGATAATTTTCTTGAAAAAGCATGCGATGCAAATAAATGCGTAGACCTAGAGTCAATCAAGATATAAGCATTTTGAGCACAAATAAGGAGTATACCTGACACTACTATCTCAGTATTTTGCACATCTCTAGGTACAAGTATGAAAACCCGGCCTTGCCTTAAAGCTTCTCTCCCTGTAGCTTTAGAAGTGGGTTTTGGTGTACCGGTTGATACCGCAGCACTTGCTACAGGTCTATTAGTGCCTTGAGATGCGAGAGGAAAATCTTTGACTATGTGACCCACTTTGCCACACCGATAACATGCCCCAAAAATTTTGTAATAAACCCTTTATGTCTTCTACCACATTCTGGACAAGGCGGTATAGAATTGTTCCCTTGGATGGAACTACTTGTCGACCCCGTATTCTGTTTCTTATTTTGTGTGTTGTTCCTGCCCTTCTTAAAATTAAATCCCTGCCTCTTACCCCTGCAGTCAGTCACCAGTGTCTTGGCCTACTTTAAAGCTACAATATTTGCCTTAGACATGATAGCGCTATCAAGAACATCCACATATTTAGTCAATTTGAGAACATTGACCCGATCAAGTACTTCCACATTGAGTCCACCCTCAAATTTTTTGGCTTTCTTATAGTCAGTATCTACTATATGCGGTGCATACCGAGTGTAGACACCCCATTTTTGACCGACCTTAAGACTCAGACGTCATCGATTGAGCGCTCGGTGATTGCACATGTTGTGCCCGTTCTGAGGTTATGGAGTCTTGGCTGAGAGCCTTACCTCCGGACTTCGAGACTCTTTTGTGCTTTGCCTCGGTTTGTTAACCAGGTTCTATTTTCTCTTTCCGAAGGAAGGGAGAGGTCTCGTAGACCATCTCTCAGTGGTTGTAGGCTACTTTTCGTGGTCGTAGACCACTATTCCCGCTTGGAGACCAGTTTCTGGTTTTCGGAGCCATCGGCCCTGCGCCTCGGTTCGAGACCGCTTAACTTTCTCCGTTTGCTCTAGTTTTTGGCACACACCTTGTTTCCTCTTCCTAGAGGGACACTGTGGCCCAGGAGACCACCTTCGTGGTTGCACGCCACTTTCGATGCTTAACAATCAGTTTTCGGGGCACCCGATTGCGCGTTTTGGCCCTCGAACCCTCGTTTTGCATCCGTCTTGGTTCATTTTTGGTATGGACCTTTTTTTCCATGTTTGGAAGGTGGTAGAAGGGTGGGAGGCCAGCAATTCTTTTGGAGACCATCTCTCTCTCCTCCAGCCGATTTTCTTGACAGGTAAGTGTTCTCCCTCACTTTTGGGCCACATTTACTAGTCTCCCATACCACCACTAGCTTGCTTTCACCTTGGAGACCACCAATTAGGGCTGTCGACAACTTTTTGTTCACTTGACCCTTTTGAACTGGTCGGCCGACCAGGGGAAGTGGTCGGCCGACCACCTGAACTGGTCGGCCAGATACCTGCAGCTTTGTCTCACTGAGTTGCTTCCAGCTATGCCAGCTGGGAGGCATTTGCTGCATGTATGGAGGATGTTTATTCTTGGTTTTTAGCTTCCAAGAGAAGCTTTGGCCTCTCTTCTCAATAAAGGAAGGGCCTCCCTTCCGTTGCAAAGGTTCAGAGGTTGCTGGAGCATACATACACATATCTCCTTCTATATCTCTCTCGTTTAGGTTCAATAGAGCCTTGTTCTTGGTCCTTCATACACCATCTCACAACCACACACTTCCACCATTGCTTGGAGGTCCTTGGAGCTTGTTTTCAGAGCTTGAGGAGCTGGTTTCTTGGTCCAGAGCTTCCTGTCTTGCTGTGCTACAAGGGTAACACACTAGTCCCCTCTTTTGGTCCTTATTTTTTTTCATATCTGTGCTCTATTTGCAAGCATATTTGGGATTTTTCATAAAATGATAAAAGTCTTATTTTGAGCTCCTCTTGAAGTTTGTTTAAGGTCATTTTTCTGTTGGGGGTCATCTACCCCCTTGCATGCTTGTTTTCACCTTGTTTTGAGCCATGCATCTAGGCCTTTGAAGTGAGCTTTGTTTGGCCTTCTAGCCACTAAAATCCAGTGGATTTTCAGTGGCTAGCATACTGTTTTGAGCCCCAAAATCAGAGAGGGGTGACCCTCTGACCCCTTGTCTTGTTTACTAGCATTGTTGGCCTAACAAAGGGGTCTATATTTACACACTCCTTGAGCATGTTTCAGGCCATTTCTGATGGGTTTTAGGACCCGCATGACCTCTTTCCAGAGGTGATTTTTCCATATTAAGTGTCCCTCTTGCATGTGTAGAGTAACCCTCTTCATGGCCTTTCAAAGGAGCCTTTACTTGCATGCTTCCTAGCCTCATTTCAGGCCCTTTTTAGTGAGTTTTAGGGCCTTCATAACCTCTTTCCAGAGGTGGTTTTGCCATATTAAGTGTCCGTCTTGCATGTGTAGAACAAACCTCTTCATAGCCTATCAAAGGAGCCTATCATTCTTGCATGCATAGACCTTGTTTCAGTGGGTTTTTGAGGTTTATTTCACATGTCATACCTCTGAATTTTTCTAGTTTGGTAGCCACTTTATTGCCTCGCATACTTGTAGTGCAAATCTCCTTTACTAGCTTGTGTTGCATGCTTCGTTGGCCCTTGATTTTAGCACTTTTTGGCCATGCCTTAAACTTGTTTCTGTTTTTGGCTGGTTTGGTAGTCCTTCACATGCTTCATATAGTTGTAGTGTAAGTCATGGTTCACTAGCTTGTATTGCATGATGTTTTGGCCCCCTTTCCTAGCATATTTTGGCCATGATCCAAACTAATTTATTCATATTTTAGGCTGCCTTAGCTCTGTTTGAAGTGTTCTGGGGCATGCATCCATTGTTGTATATGGTCATAGTTCAATCAAGCTTACTATCTTTGCATATTGGGTCCACTAGCGTGCGTTGTTTGAGCCCCTGGCATGTTTTGGCATCACCGAGAGTGATATTTCATACCTTATACTTGTGCCATGTTCCCATATTTTCCACTATTTAAGTGCATTTGAGAGTTGTGATTGCATGAGCTTCATTTGAATGCATTCCGAGCCACCATCCCAACATATTTTGCCACTGATTTTGGTCTACATAGGGACTGTTTGGGGTTGGTTCCATCATTTGAGCATTGTTTTGCATACCTACAGTGTAATCCATTTCACTAGTTTCGGTATCCGAGTCATCTAGCATGCATTGTGTGAGGTGTTTGCATGTTTCAGGACCATCTTTTATGCCATTTCAGAGCTGGATCATGTGTCATTCTATGCCATATTCCATCCCTTGCCATGCCTTATTAGAGTTGCACTTTATGGCTTAGGTTCAGTCCCTTGTGTTGGGCATGTTTGCATGAGTGTTCTTGCCTAATTTCATTGTGTATGGCCACTGATTTGAGCATGGCTGAGGTCCGCTCATATTGGTTTAAGTCCACCTTGCATTGTGTATGCCATTTGGTTCATGTTGTTGCATGTTTGACCATCGCATTGTGTATGTTTTGATTATGCCTTCGTGTATGTCCGCCTTCGTGTATGTCCATCTTCGTATGTGTGCCATATGGCTCATATGCATTGTGTATGCCATATAGCTCATGTGTATTGTGTGTGCCATTTTAGTCCATAGCATTGTGTATGCTAGGTTGCATATGTGCATATCATCCCTTGCATGCCAGCACGATTAGGTTGCACTGCATTTAGGATTGCATGTTAGTCGCATTGTGTATGCCATCTCATTGCATTGTGTTTGGAGTAGGGTTAGTCCAAACACGGGAAACGAGGGGCGTGTTGTACTCAAAGTGACAAAACGTGTCTCAATTTCTGGTCGCGAACACTCCGAATTATCCATGATGGAGTTTAGGCCTTGTTGTGTTTATAGGTGCATTCATTTCACATTGAGTCATGCAAATTCGACTCCTCGGCCATCATGTATCGAGATGCATATTGATGGCATGAGGATCGACGACTACACTCCCTAGAGCTTGTGCAATGACGGGGAGAGTAGTCGTTCGCACATGTGTTGAAAATTCTTTGCCAGGCCCCTTTCTTGCTCTCTGTTGCAGCAAACCAGAAACCAACAACCTTCTAGAGCTTTGTACAATATTGATGGAGTGTAGGCCTTATTGTGTTTATGCGTGCATTCATTTCACATCGAGTCATGCAATTCAACTCCTCGGCCATCATGTATCGAGATGCATATTAATGGCATGAGGATCGACGACTACACTCCCTAGAGCTTGTGCAATGACGGGGAGAGTAGTCGTTCGCACATGTGTTGAAAATTCTTTGCCATGCCCCTTTCTTGCTCTCTGTTGCAGCAAACCAGAAACCAACAACCTTCTAGAGCTTTGTACAATATTCTAGGATCAATTGCAAACAGAGGCAAATCGGGGCTTCGCGAGGAATTTTCCGACAAGGCGACTCGAGCATGCATGCATCTTTCATCATTCGGAACAAAACTGAGGCGGTCCATAGATCTGCATACTAGTTTACTTCATTTCTTAGTTAATCTGTCAATTAATTAGAGTTTTGTAATATTTCATTAGCTAGAGTAGTTAATTATTTATTCGGTCTGTATTATTTATTCGGACCCTCCAAGGAGGGCAATGTTGTAATAAGTGTGCGTGCGTGTGATGTATGTCTTCCAACCCCACGTCTTTCTCCTTTTTATTTACCAGCTTATGATGGTTAGATTAGGGCATGTTTCAATTAGCATACTTATGCTCGCATGTTTGCATTCATTCATCTGTATTGCATGCACCAGGCTCGGCGCATCATACTAACTGCATTGTATTTCAATTTCGAGTTCAATACATGTGTTAGTTGTTGCATTTCATATGCCATTTTTAGAATAGCCGAGCCTATCTTAATTGCATTTTTGTATGTGTTGCATTAGGCATTTCAGCATAGTTAAGATTCATGCATGATTTCTAATTAGCTTCTTTCTTTGGCTTGGAG